ACATGTGCGGGATGGGAAAGGAGAGGTTGCCGAGAATTGTTTTGGAGGCGAAGTGGGCAAACAAAAAGAGGAGCAGACAACCCACGGAATGGGTCAAGGTTGTAGAGAGTATGGAAGGGGTTCGACATCGACGAAGATGAGTCGCTGGAAACGGAGGGTCTATAGGGGTTCAAGGAGAAGATATCTGCTGCCTTTTCCGAGAGAGAAGAATAGAATCTAAGGAAAGAAACCAAGGATAAGGAGGGTCTAGAAGTGTACGGAACGTTGAAACAAGGAACAGATAGTTCAAGGAGTACCTTCATGGACCAATGGATGCTGGGACAAAGCTGAAGGCCATATTCAGGACCGGGGACATTGGCTTCGAGAACGTAGCCGAAGACTTTGGAAGGAAGACGACGAAGACGCAAAGTTCAAATGTGATTGCAGCTTCGAATGCGAAGACCGTGTTCATGCAGTCGCGGAACGTCGGCTGTACAAGGAGAGGGAAGGGTACATGACTGAGCTGGGAAAAATACAAGGGACGTACAGGGAGATGATTGGGGCATGGAATAGAGACGAGAGGACGTTTGCTGTACTGGAGCATAGGAAGTGGTTTGAAAAGGCGGAATATGATATCGGTAGAAATGATATCAGTAGGATAGATAGAGTAGGGAAGACATTTTTGAGCCACCTTTGGCAAAGTAGGGAGGAACGATTGGCCATCGGCGATCGGTCTTGTGGGAACAATGCTCCGTCCTCTCGAGGACGCGTGGTCAATGGTCTAGTCGCTAAGGCATGCAAAACATGAGAGTACCCCCCCCCCTCCCCCCCCCTCCAGATCGGCTACCTCCTCCGTATCAACCCTCCCCCCCGCCCCGTGTTCCACCATCGCGGGCGACCTCCTCCTCCCCCCCCTCCCGGTCATCCCCCTCCCGCCCCTCCAAACAAAAACAGGTACATAGCTCAGGGTAAGCTCGAGACCGCACGGTCGATGGCGCGGCGTGTCCTCACCCTTACCCTGGCGTGCAGCGGCTTCCTGGCGACTTCGCTCCTGTGCCTGAGCGGGGTGATCCCTCGCGGCTTCACCTCCGACCCGGAGGTGCTCAAGAGACTGCACCAGCTGCTGCCCCTCCTCGCCTTCCAGCAGCCGTTGGTCGCCCTGACGCTCGTCGCAGAGGGCCTCCTCGTTGGAGCCGGGCAGGTGAGACCAATATTGTTGTGATGAGTTATATTGTCGTGATTTCTTGCATGGTGTGTGGCCCTTGATTGTGTCTTTCTTCGTTTGACTGTTGCACCCTGCACTCTTTTTACTTATTGCCTCGTGCGTCTTTGCCCATTTTGTTTCAGAATTTTCCCTCCTTGTCCGGTTGGCTGATAAAAACGGATAGTGAAATAGACATCAACCCGGGCATGACGTTCCGCCGAAAAATCTGGTGTTCTTGGTTCATCCTTTTGGTTTGGTCTTGCACCAAGAGCGTTTGATTTCCCGTGTGCTGCTCTCGTGTGTGATGTTTTACTTTGCGGTTTTGTTCGATCTCCCATTGATTTTGCAAAACCAAAACCAGACGCTGTTGGCGGAGTGCACACACCCCACAAAGTTTGAAGGGGACAGTACCCATGCGGGAGGGCGTGTGCGTTGTCAACCAAGCTATGTTGTGTTTACCCCCCTTGCTCTCTGCTTTACTGAACATGGTCCATTTATCGTTGTCGTTGGGGGTGGGGGGGGGGTCTTGGTGCCTGGTTTGTGGGACCTGGCGACGAATTCATGTGCTTTTTTCAGGAAATATTATTTATCGTACGGTCAAAGAACCCCCGTTTGAGATACATGTAGTACCCCAGTCAAGGGGATGGGTTGCGGTCTTTGTCTTGGCAATGAATGGAGGGAAAACGACTGGAAAATGGGTTTATTTTTTTGCGTGCCCCGAGTCTTGCTGCACTGCTGTTCCACCCTCCACAAGCCCCCTTGTTGCAGGCTGAGCAGAGGGCCGTACTATCGCTTCGTGCTTTCCGTTTCAACGCGTGTGCTGCTCAGCCATGCATTATTTTTTGCCAACATGCACGACGATGACAAGGTCGACGGCGGTATCCAAACCAAAACCGGACCGAACCGAACCGAACTATTTCAACGGAAAACATAACGCCTTGGGTGTCATCCCATCCACGGCGATGTGAATGTTGATGGCGGCACTGGATCAGAACCAAAACCAAACCGATTTTAACAACAAAATTTTAAATAAAAATAAAAACGCAGTTCCGCTGGCTGGCAACCACCACGGTGGGGTCGAGCGCGGTGGCGGCGTGGTTCATCCTCATGGTGGGGAGACGGGCACCCGGGTGGGACGTGCTCGGGATCTGGGGCGGCATCACCGCCATGTTCGTCGGGCGATTCCTGGGGGCAGCGTGGAGGGTGATGGACCGCAAGCGGGGCCCTTTCTGGGTGGTGCCAGCATCGCCGACCTCGAAATTTGAGGCTTGAGAAACGAATACTGACCCGACACATGTAAATATGTGGAGGATGTGCCTGTCGTGTCATTTTGGTGGTTGTTTTTTTGCGTTCATTTTGGTTGTTGGAATAATTTTTAGTCTTGTCTGCTGTCCTTCTCGAGGAGAGTTTGCAGAAGCAGAGGATGATGAAGCTTGGTGCCTTGTGTGTTGAGCATTTTTCGTCCGAACTGGACTTTAGTCCATCGACGGGGGAAGTCGGAAATAATTTCATCTACAGCATTGTTGGGTTCCGACAAATATAAAAAAAGGAGGTGAACCCAGCCACCACGTGGCGCACCATGTTTACTCGTACGTTTTGTCGTCTCTTGTGTGGTACGAAAGGAGTTTGATCCAAGGGCGATTGACATCTAATAACAATGGTGTGTGCTGTTGGGTTGATTGGCGCCAAGTTTGGCGTGCCGGCGGGAGTTGGGTGGACTTTGGCTGTCGAAGCGGGCGTTGCGGGTGGCACCACGTTGAGCGAGGTGTGGGGAACACACGACAAGCTGCAAACCTGATCGCTGCACCGGTGCATGCTTCTGCTCGACCACGCGTATTGGGCGCAATTTACGGAGGAAGTTCTCCTGTGCTTAGCCCTGGTTGGTGTTGACTCTCGCTGGCAACAGACCACCAGCTGTATGAACCACCGTTTTGAATCCAATTTTCGTCGAGAGGAGACGGGAAGAGATGAAACAAGTGTTTCCAGGGTTGTCGTTGTTGTTGTTGACTTCACATTAAAAACCGTTCCGATCTCTCTCTACCCAGTACCTTTGGCCATCTGGCACAGAACAAGAGAGGAAAAGAGAAAAAGAGAAGAAAATAAAAGGAAACAGTAAGGAAAGAAAATGAAATGAGAAGAGCGAGGACAAAAAGGCACACGGTGGAGACACCACTAACGACACGCAAACATGGCCATCAACCAGCGATACATCGTAATGGTACGTCAACACTAGTGGGGGGTTCGGGTTATCGGCGGTTGGGAGTGGGGTGCTGTCGTTCTGAACCTGGTAAATAGTATTTCGCACAAGGAATAGCAAACAAAGCGCTTCTCCACTTCGTTGCCCTTGTCCCTTGGAGGGTTCGCGCTTGTGCGGAATGTACTTGTTCCGGGTGTGGCGGCGCGCGTGCTCTGTCGTAACGAAGACTTGTGTACGTTGTCTGTGTTGCGCTACTGTAGGGTTAGGCCTTACATCGAACCAAGTGCTCACACGCGTGTGGAGCACACGCAGCGTTCTCGTTCCGCCCTGTTGTTGTGGTTGTCGTGTACCTGCCTGACTGACGCCGTTGTTTCAGGAGCTTTCAGCCTGCTGGCACCACTATTTTGCGAGTTGACATCCGTCACAGGGAGTTTACGACCCTTAGCTGAGGTTGCGGCACATCGTTGCGCGTCACGTTGGAAGAGGGTACACCAAAGGTTTAACGTTCACTACAGCAAGGAAACACAACGCAACAAGACATATACTCTACCCCGTCGGCGTGCAAACGTCCTCATGGTGCGGGGGCTTGGCACGTTTTGAATGCCTGCACCAGAGTAAAGAGTGCAATGTATGCTACCGCCCCCCAGGCGGTTGCTCGCGCGGATCTGGACCGTCGTGATTCAACAGGCCTCCACGTGAGTGACTCGAAGTTTTCAGTCAAATGCACCGCTATCATCGTGCCACAGCCACGCCGTACCAGGTGGCCTGTAGGGCGAAAATAATGGCAGGTACCGATGAGGATGGATCGGCCAGCGCAGTGTAAGTGTGACAGGCGTAACGGGAGGCTGCTGAAGTGTTTTTTAGGTTGGCAACGAGAAGCAACGAAGGGGGGGGGTTGACGAAGTTCCAGCTAAAACAAGCACATCACACTATAAAAGGTGCTTCCGTTTGTAGCACCGGTTCATGCCTCTTTGCAACTAGAGCTACTGTAGCCGCCGGTCGGTGCACCCGCACTTACATCGGCGGCGTTGGGCCCCACGCGCACAGCCTGGTGTTGTGCATTCTCGCAGGAATCGACGAGATGCAATCCGTCAGGCAGACCCGCCTGTGAGCATCAGTTGCGAAGATGTGTTGTTGTATCTATGCATCGGTGAACATCAACAGAGCTGAGGGCCACAACGCAATGGTCCGCTTGTGGTGAGGGAGCAAAAACAACCAAAAGACTCACACGACCACACTTACTAAAAGGTCGAACAACACCTACCACTAAACAACTTTACGCGGGGACAGGCTATGCCTGTGTATTATACCGTCATTTGGGGGATATGCTAAAGTCTACTGTAATGGCCTATAGGTGCACCAAGACGGAGGAGATAGACGTGGTTGGCGGGGGCTTCAAGCAATTATTTTTGTGGTGTGCGGCACGGTCTTGATATTGAATCACCCACCCTGTCGAGGGCGGTGCACGTATTGTAGTGGAACGGGGGTCATCTTCTGCAAGACAACGTACGAACGAGTACAGCGTACCAATTTAATTGACGACCGGCATGCACACTGTACAGCAGTAGTCATCCACATACTCGGAGTACAGAGTAGTAAGCAGAACCACGGCATCAAGGTTTAGACTATTTACGGTGGCACATAATTGATAGGAGCGAATCTTTTCTATACGCAAAGCCTCACATTGAAAGCGTTATGCATGCGCAGCACAGCACACGATAGCGCAAATTGATGACAGGGAAAAGGCGGTCACGATGAAAAAAAATATGTAGAAGTACTTCTATATATTGCAAATTGCTCGAGTTATGGCGNAAAACGCTTCCATGACGAAGGCGGTCAATACGCAAGAAGATAAAACATGAATCCAGTTGACGTGTGGCAAGCTGCATCCGGGGTAAAACTTGTCGACATTTGAATATTTTTGATTTTTTTTTCAAGGACAACTGCAGCAGCTGGAAGCAGGGACGCAAGCCCCCGCGCACAGCAATCACATAGTGTGCTGTTGGAACATGGCACACCCAGTGCATGGGCGTAGCAATCGATCACAAGACCGCAAAAAATCTCATCATGGTTCAACCTCGTCGCTGCCATCACCCCACTCTGCGCTTTTCTGCTGGATCTGCTCCCTTACCCCTTCCTCGACGTCACCCACGGGCGACACATCATCTGTAACGTACCTGTCCGGCTTATTGAGGTTGCCTATCGTACCAGAAAGCACTCCATCACGGTCCTTGACCCACTTATTCATCTCTCCAATGGCGTGGTCAACCAGCTTCGAACAATCGGCTGCCTTCCACCCCCCCTCCTGGCCTGGCCATTCCTTGTCCCCGTACCAACCTTTACGAATCTGCACCCACACCTCCCGCATCTTTCGCTTCAACTCAAAGTTAAGGCTGACGTACTGCTTACCATGCTGCCAAAAAAGCTCGATCGGTTGAAAGGACGGCATGTAGGGCGGCGTCCAAATCAACGCCCACCCCTTTTTCCTCATGAACGTCACCACCCGTTCCTCGAGCCTTTCAGGGTGATTGAGGTGGATGTACTCCCGAGTGGCCGTTGCTACCTCCGCTCTGCTTACACCGCCCTCCCTGTTCCCTGCAGGGAATGAAGAACCAGGCTCTGTCGGTACCTCGAAGTTGTACTCAACAACGCCCTGTTCGCCCTCCTTACGCCTAACCCTGATCGACTTGGCCCCAAACATACGCAACAGATCGACGTTGTGCTTCTTGGTGTTGGTTTCCGGCACTTTGACTTCCGCGTCAAATCCATGGTGGTATGAGGCGTTGTCAAGAACAAGAATCATCCGTTTGCCTTTGAACTCCGGGATCGCGTTGTACGCAGGGCTAAGGCGGTGTTCAAGCCACTCCATGAACATCGAGTCGGTCATTGCTGCGTGGTAATCGCCCTTTGCCAACTTAGCCTGCCACAGAAACTCTGCTGTCTCCTCATCTTCCATTTCCTTCTTGCCGCTACCCGTTTCCCTGAACCAGCCCTCTTCGATCGGTAACCCATCACAAAGCTTAGCCAACGGCCCCCACTTCGTGATTGCATGCACCATGATCATGCGCAAGCCCTTCCCCGTTGTGCGACCAATCCCATCCTGCACAACTCCATTCTCGTCCGAAGGAAAGTAAGAATAGGGAGAACCATGAGCCTGGTGGACAAAACTCTCATCCATATACACGATCACTTGTCACCCAGCATCCTCTGCCCTCTTTGCCATGTCCATTTCAACAAGAAACCGACGAATGCGAGCAAGTCTTTCGGCGTTTAACGGCGGCGTTTTGATCCTGCCTCTACGACGCTTGAAGCCGAGCCTACTCAGCAGCCCTCCTGCCGAACGGTTGGACGGCTGCTCCATGTTGCAAGTCCTGTGCATCCATTCTGCCACCGTGCGGCGAAAGACTTGACGACCGGCCTTGTGCTCGTCGTTGATGAACTCGCGAAGTTGATCTTCTTGTGCTTTGGTGAGGCGGCGTCGGCCATCATCCTTCTTTGCCGTCTTGCCTCTCCCCGCGGCGGTGGTCTCGTACAACTGGCGGTGATCCCACCAGTGGTTGTTGATGCGTCTGACCTTGTCGTGGCCGATCTTGAAAGTGCGCGCAACCTGCCAGCATAGAGAGGTCCAGAGAAGAGAAAATATTGCAACATCGTTTATGAATAAGGTCAGTTCACTTGGACATTGTACAGTGAGGCATCGCACATGCAAGCCTGCTCGTCTGCTGTAAAGTACTGCTGTACAGCAGTACAATGTTTTCCTGCTGTTTATTTGTGTGACGTAGACTGGTGAGTCAAACATGTAACGAACAGCACAGGCTCGCGCCCAACATACATGCGACGAAAACAAACTTACCACACAGAAACATACTGCTGTTGTACACCGCTGCAAAGATAGGGTGTAAGCGCATATTCCGGAGAAAACATTCAAACACCAACCGTTACCTCTCTTTGATCAAGATGAATATATAAAAACGACATCGGCCTGCTGCTGTGCCGCACCATCCGACCTTCACTGCTGTGTACTGACCTGCAACACCACCTCGTTCTCAGAGCAACCTTCCTTGCGGAGGTCGAAGAGTAGCATGAGGACAATCCTTGACTGCAAGTGGGTCCGGACCTCGCCCTTCTCCGACTTCACCTCGTGCACAGATGTGTCCGTAGTCCAGGCCCTGAGCAACCTTCTCCGCCGCGGCAGCAGCTGCTGACGCGCTCAGCCGCCTGCTGCTCACGCTTTTCCCGCTGTGCAGTTCTTGGCTCTCTTGTCCGACTTGGACGGGCGTCCAACTGCACCACCAGTTGGCTGTCTCCTGCCCTTCGGCTTCGCTATCGGCCGATAGCTGAGAGGCCGCTCTTCGAGCATGCAGTACTCGACAACGGCTGCGTTGTGTACGACGCTGTGCTGATGTGCGCGTGCGCGAAATCATAGGGTTTCCAAAAAGTTCTACATGCATGGCTAGTTCGCCGCCATTTTGTATATTTTCAGGCCAACACAAAAAAGCAGTGAAAATGTACCCTATCTATGTTCGCCGGCAACTGCCGTACCTTGTGGTTGTCTGATGAGAGCAATACTCGGCTCATTTGAAAGCTGTGGTTTCCGTCTTTCATTTGATGTGTGGTAGGTCTGCTAACCGTGCTGCAGATTGCATATAAAGCCTCTGGGCAGTAGTGCTTGTTTCCAGCGGTCCAAAAATATTTTTGACACTGCTCAATAATCAATTGAGGGAGAAAAATAATTATGTATAGTCGCCAAAAAACGAGAACAAGTTACTCCCACAAATAATTATGTGCCACCAATAAATATGATTATGAGAGCCACACCAACAACAGAAACAGCGAGGAAAGGAAAACAACTCTTCTTGTCCAGGCTCACCCGCAGGAAATAATATTTCTGTTCCCACAGCACGCCAGTCGCGTATTCTTCCACGTCACGGCACCTAGAGCCCCCGCACGTCGTCGAAACAAGAGCACCAGATAGCAGATCTTCCTCGCCCCGAACGACGTACTGCATGCCAGTTATGCCGCATCCTTCAGCGTACACACACGTGTAATGAATGGTGCAATGGTAAGAACATCGAAAACATTTAGATGTGGGTGGATAGTACGCACCTCGATCGTCGTTTACAGGCAGGACTGTAGTCTATGTATACAGTAGTCTACAACAGCATTGTTGCATAGAGTGGACTGGGGGGCAAAGTAAGGGGCGAGAGGATATTTTCATTGCTTGCATCGTGTGTCATGAGAGATGGTAGTTGTTCATACCGCGCATACTACATGCGTGGAGCTACGTCAGTGCATCCCAATGTATGCCCATACATCACAAAAAGTAAATGCAGACATGACGAAGCAATGGAGCGGATACGGAATCCCACACGCCGCAGCCCGTCAAGCCACCTGCGTGAGAACTCACGAGGAAGCCTCTGTGGATGATGGTACGCCATTATGCGCAAAATAGGTTCAAGTGGGACCCACGAACCCTCCCACGCGTTCACCTTTGCTCCCGGCATGGAAGGGCCTTCCCACTGCTGTCGGTACCATCACCACGAGCGCACATAAACAGCTCAACCATCCTGGAGCGCTCATCGATCTGATCGAGCTAGATCAGCTCCTCTGATTGCTGATAGTGCTTGGCTGCAATCGATGAAATTAATTGTATCTTGAATCTTCATTGGCTGATGTGTACCCACATTCGCCCGCGAATAGACCAGATCTCCGCCTTTTTTTGTAACCGTCCGTGTGATAAGTAGTCCGCAACAGGCCAGATCTCCGACCATCGTAGACATCTAGCATCTAGCTCTCCTGTCTCTCCGTTCGGCGGTACGCGTTACGGTCGTGCAAGGACGGGCGATGCGATACCTTCTTCGCCGCTTCGGCCACGGGGGAGCGACGGAGCGACCCAACATTTGCGTGGGTTGTAAAACCTTTAAGGGGCCTCGAAATCGAAGGAGCAAACCTTGCATTGATGGTCGAAGAGACGCGCATTTCTCTAAACCTAAACTGCCGATACTAGCTCTTGTACCCGACGGCGGACTGCGGCAACAGCAAGCTACATTTCTATCCACCCCACTCGCAACACGAATAGAGCACTCTCGAGAGCGTCGATTGAACAGAAACTAGCATGGTTTTAGAGAAGAGACCGGAGATCGCCCAACTCTAAAACCAAGTAATCTTGTGGAGAACTGGGGTAAATCTGGCGTCAAACCTTGGTGCTACTGCTGTAGCCGGCTCTTTTTATCCGCAATCAAAACCCCGACGTGTGCCCCGAGTTGTGAGGGGGCCTCAGAGAGGAACTATTGTACAGGTCCAAATGTGTTCCGGCCGGCTCACGAACATGCCCAAGAAACCCATTCGCCGGAGTCCCATCGCGGTTGTTCCGACCGGGCTACCCGTGAGGGTGTTGTGTTTCCCCCGCTTTTAGGGGCACGACAGACGGCACACAATCGGTCGTGGTGAGGAACACGAAGGGCCAGGGGGACAGCAACTGGCAAATATATGGCCGACCCGGATACTATCCGAAGAGTTGAGAAATGCAGCTGTCAAAAGCGGATGGCGGGAAAGAAAGCCTATCGTGATATTTCCTTGGTGGCTCCGTCCATCCTTACAAGAGACACAAGTAAAATGCGATTGCAACATGAGAATCATTTTGTTTTGAATGGACGTGGACCCCGAATCAAAGTCCACCCAGCCGGCCAACTCAAAAAGAAAACAAAAATTCGGGAAAGGGAAAATGATTTGCAGGAAAAGGGTCCGAGAAGACGGGTTGCGAGAGGCAACCGCTATGATGACAAGCAGGGTGGGTACCAACTGGAGCCGCGCGTGGTTGCAACGGATGCAGGCTTGCTCTCCTAGTCGTTCCTGGCTCATCCGCCGGCTCGCCTGCGCCCTCTCTACGGACCCCGCCCGCACCCCAATCGATAACAACACGTCGGCACTCTCTCGACGAATAAGGCACAGGATGCTCGTGCTGGTGCAGCGCTCGCAAGAAGAAATGAGGGGGTGGTATATCCCGCCGCTTCTCTTCGACGCCAATTGAGAAATCGCCGAGCCAGCCGACTCAACAACGAGCCGAGCAGAGCGCATTGCTGGGCCGCTCTCCTCAGGATTACCTGTTGCACTGCTCAAAGGACAAACTCTTCACGCCGCCAGTACGATTTCCTCGATCGCACTCGTTTCGCGCACGTTATTTCCCCCACCACTCCCCCCCTCCCTCCACATGCTGCCCCCACTCTCTCCTTAAGTATCGTGACTGCCGGGTTTAGTCCATGGTGAGCTCCATGATGGCATTAACGATGTCTCCGTCGTTCTTCTTCAACGCGTTGACTGCCGCAGACCGTGTGCAAGATGCCTGCAGCAACGTGAGGGGGAGGGGGGGGGGCGCCGGTCGGAATACATCGAAAGCCAAAGAAGTATTAATGTTGCGAGAAGAAGAAAAGACGAGGGTCTCAAGGACCACAAAGGTGTCCAGATGACCACAACGTGCCACACAACGGACGTATGAACAAACTACCTTTGCGCCAGCAAATCTGAGCGGTTGTTACACGGGTTGTTTTCACGCAAAGAATTGCACATGTGCATACGGATACAAAACACCGCTTCTCATGAGTCCCGGGTACGAACCATGGAGGACAACAATAACATAAACTGGTTTTCCACAAGCTAGATACGCATACCACGTGGTCATGATAACCTCAACTTCTCTCATCGGGCGATGACAACACAACGCTGGGACAGCCCTTACAAGCGAAAATTCGACAGCATCATCAACACGTTGACGCCGCGAACGCAGTGCTGGCAGTACCAAGGAAAGATAAATAACCTTCTCAACACAAAGCGAGGAAAATACTCCAGAGGAACAACAGATAGCAACGGCGCTGGCGTAACAAGGCCAGGACTTGATGTCCCTGGGCGGCACCAATTCTACCTGGACAGCCGATAATAACTCTCACAACCCAAGGGCTCATCAAACGTGCAAGCAATGCCACTCAAGTTGCGACCGCAGTCGTACGAACCATACAAGGGCACCGAGATAGTTGACAAACAAAACGCAAGATTGTATACATACTGCTGTTCCAGCTGTAGAGTCGCATGCATGCACACCTGGCTCATGATGAGCTCGATGTCCTTAGGCTCAACCCCCGTCTCGTCCACCAACTCGTCCGTGTCCACATCCGCGCCCGTGTTTACGGCCGGGATGGCTGCTGCGGAAGAAGCCGCCGCCTGTTTTGAACATTGGTTTCCAGCCCCCCCCCCAAAAAAAGCAAAAATAAACACACATACATGACAACACGAAGGGAGCAAAAACAAGAGGTTAAGAGCAAACTGGAAAAGGGAGGGTGTTCTCGGACTCCGTCAGTGAGCTGGGGTGCAAGACAAGGTAAAGGCGCCCAAAACCAAAAACACGCAAAAACATGCGCGGGAAGAATCGAGAGGTAGTTTGTGTGGAGCCAATTATGCAGCTGCACAGTTTTTCAAAGGAGTTTATCTGAAACTGGATGCAAACGATTTTCGAACAGCACCAGTACAGGCGTAGCTGTCCGACAAACAGTCCAACCCGCCGCAGCACACCACTCTGTACCCAAAACTTGATCAGCCACAAAAACCCACAGCCGGCAGCAAACCACCCATCACCTCGGGCGCGCTGAACCGCTCCGCCGCCTGCTGCTGTGCCTGCGCCGAAAGGTCCTCGATCTTCGCCTCCCCGAAGATGACGTACGTGTTGGATGACGGGCTCTTGTGCACGTCGGGCTTGGAGATGACGAACAGGATGTTCTTGCTCTTCTTCACCGTCACGCGCATGATGGACGGGACCGCCTTCATGCCGAGCTTCTGCACGGCCTTTCGCGCCTTCTTTTCATTGCGGTTCTGCTTGCCTCCCTTGGGCTGTGTTTTGGGTTTTCGTCCCATTCGTTTTCGGCAGTTTCCCGGGCGTGTGTGTGCAGGAAAGGAGGGTAAGATATTTCCCAAGATTCGAGCCGTCATTCCAGGGCAAAGTTTTTTGGTTGCCCACAATAACAGGGGAAGCGGAGAACCGGGCGTCACGAAGAGGCGGGGGTACCGGGGGGAATATCAGAAACATGAGTACCGAAATGTCGTAGATGGTGGAAATGTGTATGCTAAGTGGTTGAAATACCGCCCCACAGCACCTTCTTTTCGTCGACTGTTCTTTTAATGTCTGATCCAGACACTATGTCCGCCAAAACGAAAATACCGGCCGCATTCGTTTTGGTGTTTATCAACTTCCGCATTTCCGCCCCCCCCTCCCCCCCATCAATCAGGACGCCCCACCCCGGTGTTTGCCATCGGGATTGGGTTTTCTTCGCTTGGCAACGACGTTGTAAAACAAGCCAATTCACTTCGTGAACTCGGCAACCAGGTTACCGTTTGCTTTTTTTTCACCTCTGTTTTCTTTTTGGCGGTAACCATGAAGGTGGTCGAGTAGATCATGTTGTGCGAGGTGGAGAACCCTCACTCCGCGCAAGGGGGATGATCGCACCACGTTGTGTTGAAATGGTCAAGCACCAGAAAATAATATAAGTCATAAATTACGCAGCTGTCATCCGTACGCAAGGAAGTAAGCACAAGATGCCGAACACCCTTAGCAGGATGCAGCGCACCCTTCATGCGACTCGCCGAATACCTCACGGCGCTTCGCGCTTGGTGATGTGAGAGCCTGGTCCGGTGAGAACCCGGCGTGCTGCGTCCCGGCTTTGTAGGAATGCGAGGTCAATGATCTAACGACTACGGCATGCACGACTATGAGTACACCCCACCCCATCAGTCAGGAGTGAAAAGTCGTCGTGCCGATCGTTCGCAACTGATCGAGCAGTCTCCATCGTGTCGGTGCAAGTGGATATCGGGAGGTTCATGTAGCTTAGGGTAGAGGGCCTGGCCTGCTCGTGGCTGGCTTCCGAAGAGAGCCAGCCACGAGCAGGCCAGGCCGCACGCCCTACGCTACAATAACCTCCGGACAACCTCTTGCACCGGCACGACGGTATTTGTTGTACTATACCTCCCTCTGCTACCCCCCTTCCCCCCCTCCCGGTATCTAGTTGGGCGTCGTACGGTTCTTCCTACGCCACTACATGAGCGTTTGTAGGTGACCCTTGACTGAGTCCCACAACATCCTCACAGAGCAAATGCCCACCCTCGCTCAAGGTACCCAGGTTGTACACACCGTGGTCCTTTGTTAATGCAGCGCTGTTGTGATGGTCTGTTGCTGATGGTGGGCGTTTGGTACCACGAACGCGTGGCTCTCTCTTGCTCGTGGTGTACAAAATCGAAACGAATGTGAACTTGGGATGGCGTAAGCTACTGCAGTGTGGACGCTGGATGTAGCGGCTGCAACCGAGCTACCGCCCATCATCGGAGGCCACATCAAAGGCTTGTAGAACGCGGGAGGGGAAGGGGGGGGAGGGGGGACCAACCGCCGGCGGCCATCACCTCCCAAACATACACCGGCGTATGGATATGTGTTCTTCGTATGCATAAGGCGAATTTCAGCATCATAATCGCCGCTATTGCCGCCGCCGCAACCGCCCGTGCTTCTTCCGCTGCGGATGGGTGTCCTTCTCTGGACAAAAGGTCAGCACAATAAAGCCTGCCGCCGCCCCCCGTGCCGCTCGCGCTGTCGCTGCTTACCTCCGCAGAGTCATCGCCTCCAACCTGCTCCTCCAACTCCGGGATGTCGTCGTCAGAGTCCCCCTCGATGTCCTGCAGCAGCATCGCGCCGGCAACACAAGGCACGGGCGGGTGGGTGCACGCGTTGTAGGTGCGAATCCAGAGGAGGCCCGCCGACACCATGGCAAAAACGAAAAAACGAAATATACACAGAAACCAAGATCGAGTGGGACAGAGTCTGCCGGGGAGAGTGGCTCTTCAAACAATCTCGTGGCCATTATGAGGACAACATTTGGCGCATCCCGCAGAGCATGAACTACCCTGTGGCGGGCTGCTACTGCTGTGGGCGTCAAAAGCTGTGCTGCTGAAGGCATTATGTACACACCCATGGTCATCGAGGAGTAACCAAGAATGCCAGCGGGAGAAAGTAGGGGTGTCGTACAGCAAGACGAATATGAATAAGCCGCGAGATAGCCAACCGGAGAGGTTCAGTACCGACGAACAAAATTCTTGGTACAGACGACCGGGAGTCGTGGATACAAAGGATCCGGCGTCGAGTCTCGCCGCCATCACAGGCTATGGTACCGCTGCTGTTGCTGTCGGCAAAAACAAGTGGTAGACATGAATCAAAGAGAGGAAGAGCTTCGTGGGTGCCACACAGGACACGAATGGAAGAACAAATCACTTTCGACACGGCAGCGCGCTCACTTAGCACGAGCGACAAAACCAGAGAGGCATGCAGCTGAAATCGCTCGTCGCATGCAGCGCGAAGCAGGCATCGGACCAAGCCGCTTCGTGGCTGCTGCTGCTGCTGGCTCTCACTTGCCTGTGTGTGGCGCTACGACACAATCAATGGTGTTCATCGCATCTTTCGACGTAGTGGGGCGGCGTTCACTAGCGGCGAAGCTCCACGCACCTCAACTTCTGGGTCGGCCACAACCTTTGCCTCTTCGAACTCCGTCATCTTCGGGTCAGTAGGGTAGCAGCAGCAAGAGCTGGGGAGAGGAGAGGGGGTGCACGAGACGAGGCAGGCCCTCGCCGATGCAACCGGGGTCGCCGCACGCAAGATATTGTAGGGGGGATATTGAAAAAGACCCCCACACCAGCTGGTGTTGCGGTGTTGCGGGAAAAAAGGGGTTACGTCGGGGGTCTGCGTGTTGTTGTGCCCAAGCTACCGCGCCTTTATGCTTGCCCTACTTCTAGCCGGTTGTGCGCTGATCGGGGAAGGGGAGGCTCTTGGTTGGAATAGTTACAAGTTGAGAGTTCGATCGGGTGCTGGCTGGAACCACGGCGGAAGAAGAAGCAGCAGCACTCTCCTTGGCTTCACATCTCCCCGTGTGCCCGCAACAGCAGCAGCACCAGCAGCAGCGGCAGTGGCAACTCACGGAGCGACGAGCAACGACAACGAGGGAGAGGGGCAAGGAAGATCGATGCACACTAACGAGGTGGGCACTTCGTTTGCACCGGGACAAGCCTTGTATTGCGTGTGGTATCTCAACGATGTGGGCCCTGATTGCATTTCCGCCCAACGGGCTCGCGTGTGGGAACGTTTTCCCCTGCTGCGCGCCCACTATCTGTTGCTTTCAGCGGGAAAGGATGATCCTGGCTTGTGTCTCCCTCTCTGCAACAACAACGATTGACAGACTAATCCTCTCTTTATGTCAAGGGGTGGCTTCCTGGTGCAGATGACAAAGCTCTGTCGTCCCGCACGGCTCTGTGTAGTCTCGACCAGGACAACCCTCATCATCGGCCTGTTTGCACTACATCTCTCCTCCCAAATCACGGATATGCTTAGACTTGAGTCTTTTCGGTTCCGCGGGTGCATGTTTAGTGCGAGTTTGTCTCTTCAGCAGGGTGTACTACTCTGTAGAGCATGTACCTCTCGAGAGCCCCGAAGACTTAGTTACCTCTGGCGGCAGCTGCGTTTTGACTGAGTCATCGATCGTACCATGCGCTTTTGGTGTGTTGGCGGCGCGACCGCACCGAGCGGGACTGGCGATGGTGACTGCCCTTGTCTTGGCTCCTTACCGGAGCAGGCCGAGGCTGATTTCATCCCAGTCAGCGTGTGCTATTTGTAGCATCAACGCTTTGCTCCCTCAGAACACGATGACGGTCGATGGGATAGGGTTTTCAAGCTTTGCAGCATGCCCTTGGCAATGGGAGGCTCTTGTGCACGATACGTTGACCCCGCTCACTACTGTCTGAGAAAATCATTCATGTGTACACTGCACCATAGACACCGAAGGCATGGCCTGTATTCGACACGCCCAGCAACAAGTCACCCGCACACCCGCGCGTGGTCTTGAGTCCCCCGCTCTCTATCTAACTCTCCCGCTGCGCACGTCGCCGCTCCAACGATGGCGTCGCGAAGTTGCTTGCACCGGTGCGGTACATGCGCCGTCGGTGGAGAGCCACTTTGCTTGCTCTCCCACGAACGCCCCGCGTTGATATCCGCGGGCGGGG